TCGGTGCCTACGTGACGACGTTTGAACGTGAAGTACAACTTGCGACACCTTTCGATTTTCCTAAACTACCAGAAATCCTCAAAATCGATTTAAAGATGGTGTTTCATTCATCCATTCCATTTCGTGAGGGAAACCCGTTGCATATACGCATGAAATGAACGTCAAATTATGCTGATGTCAAATTGAATCAATCACCCAGATCTAACAAGTTGTCCACAGAGTTTGAAACGCTCCAAATACAGAAGTCCAAACCTTGTTTCTGGTAGATCTGTCTTTTCTACGCTTTCAGGCGATCACCTGTTTCAGTAAAAGGCGACGAAAGCTAAAAGGACTGCTCATTGCACCTGATGCAGTAATTTGCAAGGAAACGGTCAAAACAATTGTCAAAACACAAACACTCTTGACTGCCTTTAAACGCGGGAAGACTGGTCGCTAATATGTCAACTTCCTGTCACGTGGTAATGTTACCGGAAGACTCGTGCTTTTCGCGGGAGATACGTATTTGTTGTCGGAAGTTCTCACTCTCTGCAGGGCGAAAGGTAGGGAATTGACCACTTATATAAACAGCATAAAAGTCTTCAATGAGCTTAAAATTTTTTAGGAACGTGGATAAGTGTTGTTAACTCACGACAGATTACCGAGAGACCAGGTGCGCCCGAAAACACTGCCAAAAATCATCTGATATTTTGAGCGCGAAAACATGAACTATGTTTATACGGTGTGTCGCGAACTAAAAAAAACACAATTAAGTTTATGTACTTTTCTGCCTTTCTTTGTAATCGTAGCTAGNTAAAAAAAAAAAAAAATACAATTAAGCTTATGTACTTTTCTACCTTTCTTTGCAAACGTAGCTAGCATGTTTGCCGTAAGTAACCATATGAGAGCCAACGAGACGTGTAGCGCCGAGTTGGCTAAAATCATGAACTTTTCATTGACTGTCTCAAGTTTTGGCTCAAAACTGGAGGATTTTTTTGAGTAACAATTTTGATAGAAGCAACGATGGGAACTACACGTGCAGTACATATTTAGAGCGCTGTGGAAAAAAGGACGGCGGAGCCGGGGGCCGGGGGCTGAGGATGCTTAAAACTCCCAATTTCAAGCAAAAAATACATAAAATAATAATTTTACAAATATCTTCGGACCCCCTACCAGTTATTGCCTCTAGGCCTGTCCCGATTGTGCTCGGCAACTTTTGAGCAACTTTTGGCGTTTGGAGCAACTTTTTGCGGT